AGAAAGAAGAAAGAGAAAGAAGAAAGAAAAAATAGAAAGAAAAAAAGAAAGAGAAATAGATTGAGAAGAGAAAGAGAAAGAAAAATAGAAAGAGAAAGAAAAATAGAAAGAGAAAGAAAAAGAGAAAGAGAAATAGAAAAAGAAAGTGCAAACCCACTCGTCCGAATAGAAATAAAGAGAAAGAGATTAAGGAAGAGAAATAGATAGAGCAAGAGAAAGAAAAATAGAGAGAAAAGGAAAAATAGAAAGAAAGAAAAAAGAAAAATAGAAAGAGAAATAGAAAGAAAAATAGAAAGAGAAAGAAAAAACAGAAAGAGAAAGATAAATAAAAAAGAAAGTGCAGACTCACTAGTCCGAATTGAAATAAAAAGAAATAGATAGAGAAAGAAAAATAGAAATAAAAAGCAAAATAGAAAGAGAAAGAAAAATAGAGAGAAATAGAAATAGAAATAGAATGAGAAAGAGAAAGAAAAATAGAAAGAGAAAGAGAAAGAAAAATAGAAAAAGAAAGTGCAAACCCACTCGTCCGAATAGAAATAAAGAGAAATAGATAGAGAAAGAGAAATAGAAAGAGAAAAATATAAATAGAGAGAAAGAGAAAGAAAAATAGAAGGAAATAAAGAAAAGAAAAATAGAGAGAAAGGAAATAAAAGAAAGAAAAATAGAGAGAAAGGAAATAGAAAGAGAAAGAAATAGAGAGAAAGGAAATAGAAAGAGAAAGAAAAATGAGAGAAAGGGAAACAGAAAGAAAAGAAAAATAGAGAGAAAGGGAAAAGAAAGAGAAAGAAAAATAGAAAGAGAAGAAAATAGAAAGAGAAAAAATAGAGAAACAGGAAATAGAAAGAGAAGAAAAATAGAGAGAAAGGGAAATAGAAAGAAAAAAAAAAATAGAGAGAAAGGAAATAGAAAGAGAAAGAAAAACAGAAAAGAAAATAGAAAAAGAAAGAAAGAGAAAGAGAAAACAGTGTCGCCACAAAATAAGAACAACACTTGGCGACGAGACGGACCAAAGGCAAAAAGAAGAGAAGAAATATGAAAAACCGAAAGAAAAACAAACCCATTCTTGGAAGACAAACACCTTCTACTGATGAAAAACATTTTACTATCAATATAATGTTAGAAAAAAAAGATCCGAACTCACCATACACAATCAAGATATATAGTTTTAATTACAGTATTTCACTTTTAACATTTTGATATAATAACTTACCACTACCTAAACAAACAAATTACTTATACTTATACGTAAAGAACATCTACTTACCACTACCAAAACTTACAAATTACTTATACTTACAACTCATAGGAACATCTACTTATACTTACAACACAAAAGAACATCTACTTACTTCTACTTACAACTCACTGGAACATCTACTTACATAAACTTACAACTCAAAAGAACATTTACTTATATTTACAACCAAAGAACATCTACTTACTTATATTACAACTCACAGGAACATCTACTTATACTTACAACTCACAGGAACATCTACTTATAACTCAAAAAGAGTACTTACAACCCACATCTACTTACTTATACTTACAACCTAAGAAAATCTCTTACTTATACTTACAACTCAAAAGAACATCTCCTTACTTATACTTACAACTCAAAAGAACATCTACTTACTTATACTTACAACTCAAAAGAAATCTGAACATTTACTCATCTACTACTTACTCAAACTGAACATCTACTTACTTATACTTACAACTCACAGGACTTACAACCCACATCTACTTACTTATACTTACAACTCAAAAGAACATCTACTTACACAACTCACACCTACTTACTTCTACTTACAACTCAAAAGAAACATCTACTTACGAGGGCACAGAGGTGAGGTAGATGATAAGTTTCCTGTATTCTTCATCCCCAAGTTGGGCGAAGTTCCCCTTGTCTGGGAAAGTGAGGATGGGGCAGCCCTCGCGAGATTTGCCGCCTGTGGGGAGGGAGAGAGAGAAGGGGGGTTGGGGTTAGAAATAAAGGGGGATTTAATTGGGTTTAATGTTGGGTTGGGATGGGGAGGGGGTGGGGGGTGGGTTGGGGGAGGGGGAGGAGGTGGGGTGGGTAGGGGGATGGGGTGAGGGTAGGGAGAGGGTAATTGGGTGGGTGAGGGGGATGGGTGTGGGGATGGGGGGAGGGTGGGTGTGGTGTGGGTAGGGAGGAGATTACTGGTCTGGATTTTATTTTATTTCTCTTGTTCGTCCGGTCTTTCTCTTTCTCTCTTTGTCTATCTTCTCTCTCTCTCTCCATTCTCCTCTCTATCTCTCTCTCTCTCTCTCTCTCTCTCTCTCTCTCTCTCTCTCTCTCTCTCTCTCTCTCTCTCTCTCTATCTATCTTTCCTTCCTTCCTTCCGCCCTCATCCCTTCCTTCTCCTCCTCCTCCTCCCTTTCCCCTCCCTCTCCCTCCCTCCCTCTCTCTCTCTCTTTCTACCAATAACTTCTCGTCTAATCCCTTGAAGGTAAGACTGCCTTAGGACATTCTTTT